CCTTCCCTGCCACCTTGGGACACCTTCCCTGCCACTCTGGGACACCTTCCCTGCCACCTTGGGACACCTTCCCTGACACTCTGGGACACCTTCCCTGCCACCCTGCTGAGCTTGGGACAGCCCTGCCCTCCATCCTTCCTCCACAGCTCCCTCACAGCTCCCCACAATTCCCTCACACCTGTCCTGCCCTTCATCCTTCCTGCACACCTTCCCTGCCCTCCACAGCTCCCCACAGCTCCCTCAAAGCTCCCCTGCCCTCTATCCTTCTCCCACAGCTCCCCACACCTTCCCTGCCCTCCATCCTCCCTCCCCTGCCCCCCACAGCCGCCCCCACTCACTCTCGTGGCTCTTCATGGCGTACACATCCACGGAGGGGTCGAACTCCCCGGGCCCGAAGAAGCGGGGGTAGTTGAGGAGGTTGCCGGGGCTGTCGGGGGGGGTCCCGTAGGAGGAGATGGGGTTCCCCCCCAGCCCGTCGTTCTCGCACTCCTCGTCCTCTGCCCGCTCCTCCACCTCCATCTCCTCCTGCTCGGCCCGGTCCACGTCGTGGATGCCCACCAGCAGGCTGTAATCCATGATCTTCAGCTGGGCTAAAAACTGGGAGAAAGGCGGGAGGGAAGGAGGAGGTTGGGAATGCTCAGCCCTGCCCCACGGTGCCTCCCCGGGCATGGCTGGAGGCAGCGAGAGACGAAGCCCCGGCGGCTCCAGGGGAGCTGTGTCGCCCTGAAAAGTCAGCTTCTGAGCTTGCTGCCATGGTTTCCTAAAGACTTTCCCAGGACAGGAACTGTAAACATAGAGATGTGTACATTCTTTCTGTTCCACGTCTTGTGATGGGCATCTCTCATGGCCAGTGCCGTGAGAAAGTGTTATCCTGACCATCCCATCCCTGGCCGTGGGCAGAAACCTGTAAATCCTGAGAGGAAAATAAACTTTCTCTTCCTTTCACCACACCTCGAGCTGTGTCCGTGTGATCTATTCATCTTCAGCAGCAACAGAGCTGCAGATGCAGCAACAGGGGCCCCCAGCAGATGCAGGAAGGAGCTGTGCAGCCCCTGCTGCAGCCCTGGAGCTGAGGATGAGGTGATGGGACACACAGCAGGGCTGGAAACTCAGGAAACCAGGAAACTCACCTCCACATCCCGCTTCAGCTTCTCCAGGAAGTTCTTTTTGCTGTCTTCTCCAACGTGCAGCTTCTGACCCTCATTCAAGAAGTCGTTGTCCTTGAAGGTTGGGAGATCCTTGGCCTGTAAGGAAAAGCCTGAGGTTAAACTGGCCAGGCTGCTGCCAGGGGAGGGGCTGGAGCTGCCTTGGCTCAGCCTGGGCTTTTTGGGCTGCCCAAAATCCACCGAGGATGGAAAGGGCATTGGGCAGAGCACAGGGAAAAGGGAGCTCAGCTGGATCCTGTCTGCTTCCACCAGCAGAAAGGAAAGCCCAGGGATGGCTCCATACCTTCTCCTTGTCACTTGCTTCCCTGGATACTGTTGAGCCCTGATAAAGAAAAAAAAAAAAATTAAAGAAAATATAATTTCTGCATTATGGGTCATATTCCAAATGAATTCATTGAATTCATTGACACCATTTAATTTGTTCATGCAGGAACACAATGAAAGCAAAATAAAGAAAATATTTCTGCACTATGGATCCTATTCCAAATGAATTCATTGACACCATTTAATCTCTCCATGCAGTGAAACAATGAAAGCCAAACAAATAAAGAAAATATCATTTCTGCACTATGGGACAGAGGAAGCTCCCAGCAGATTCTCTCAATGAAATCACTTCCATGAAGAAATTATTTCATTCCATTCTTTCCCCAAATGTCCTCAATGTGGAATATTTAACATGAAATGTAATCAATGTGAATATTTCAAATTAATTCATTGACACCATTTGATTTGTTCATGCAGGAACACAATGAAAGCAAAATAAATAAAGAAATTATCATTATAGCACTATGGGTCATATTGAAAATTAATTCACTGATACCACATCATTTCTCCATGCAGGGAAAACAATGAAAGTAAAATAAATAAAGAAAATATTTCTGCACTATGGGTCATATTCTAAATGAATTCATTGACACCATTTGATTTGTTCATGCAGGACAACAATGAAAGTAAAATAAAGAAAATATCATTATAGCACTATGGGTCATATTCTAAGTTAATTCATTGACAACACTTGATTTGTTCATGCAGGACAACAACGAAAGTAAAATAAATAAAGAAAATATTTCTGCACTGTGGGTCATATTCTAAATTAATTCACTGATACCAGATCATTTCTCCAAGCAGGAAAACAATGAAAGCATTTTTAAATTCAATTCTCAACCCCCTTCTGGCTCCTGGGATGGAGGAATGGACCAACACTGATCCTCCACCCACAATCTCCCCAAACCCCATCCCCTGAGCAAACCCCAAACGCCAGAACCCTGCTGAGTGTGGGGGGGTTCCAGACCCAACCCCGAGCTCTGGAGGAGACCCCAGCCCCCCCAAAAGCTCACCTTCAGGTCATACTTCCTGTGCACGGTCAGCCTGTGGCTGAAGACGTTCCTGGTGACCACCATGTAGGTCTCCACGCCGTCCACGGTCAGCCGGTACATGCCCAGGAACTGCGGCAGCAGCGTGTTGCCGTGGCACTCCACAATGAACTGCAGGGAAAGGTGTGTCACACACGGCTCTGGCACCGCTCAAATGCAGCCAGAGCCTGAGGAAAAGGCACCTGGAGCCCCTGGGGAAGGGAAGGAGGCTTGGAACAGCTCCTGGAGCCTCCAGGGAAGGAGTGGGAGTGGGGAGAATCCCGTTCCCTGAGACAGGGAGTGCTGTCCTGCCCGTGGCAGGGGGTCAGATGGCAGATCTCCAAGGTTCATCCCAACCCAATCCTGGGGTTCTGTGACTGTGTGGAGCTGGGAGATCTCAAAAGTTCCTCACAATCCAGCCCTGGGATTCTGTGACTGTGTGTGGAGCTGGGAGATCTCCAAGGTTCGTCCCAACCCAACCCTGGGATTCTGTGACTGTGTGTGGAGCTGGGAGATCTCCAAGGTTCCTGCAGCCCAATCCCAGGATTCTGTGACCCCATGTGCACTGGCACTGCCCAATTTCACTTCTCCAGGGTGCCTGGGTGCAGCTGGAGCTCAGGGCCTGTTAAACATGCCCTGCCCACCAGCCCTGCAGAGCAGGTGGGCTGGAAGCAGGACATGGACCAGGACATTTCCAGCTGTCCCGCTGCTCCCAGCTCCAGCCCCTCTGCAAAGCCTGAGGCAATGGATGAGGAGCCTGTTCACAGCTCTGGGCCACCAGGGACCCATCAGTTATTGATACAAGGGCCAGCATCAGCTGGGAAGGGGCTCAGCCCCACAAACACCTGACAGGTTATCCCTCACATTTTTTATCCCTCAGATTTTTTACCCCTTAGAATTTTACCCCTCAGATTTTTATCCCTCAGATTTTTACTCCTCAGATTTTTGTCCCTCAGTTTTTTGTCCCTAATTTTCACCCCTCACATTTTTACCCCTCGGAATTTTACCCCTCAGATTTTTGTCCCTCAATTTTTTGTCCCTGATTTTCACCCCTCACATTTTCACCCCTCAGAATTTTGTCTCTCAGATTTTTACCACTCAGATTTTTGTCCCTGATTTTTACCCCTCAGATTTTTATCCCTGATTTTTATCCCTCAGAATTTTACCCCTCAGATTCTTGTCCCTCAGATTTTTGTCCCTGATTTTCACCCCTCACATTTTTACCCCTCAGATTTTACCCCTCAGATTTTTACCCCTCAGATTTTACCCCTCAGAATTTTGTCTCTCAGATTTTTACCCCTCAGATTTTTGTCCCTGATTTTTACCCCTCAGATTTTTATCCCTGATTTTTATCCCTCAGAATTTTACCCCTCAGATTTTTGTCCCTCAGATTTTTGTCCCTGATTTTCACCCCTCACATTTTTACCCCTCAGATTTTTACCCCTCAGATTTTTGTCTCTCAGATTTTTACCCCTCAGATTTTTATCCCAGATTTTTGTCTCTCAGAATTTTACCCCTCAGATTTTTGTCCCTCAATTTTTTGTCCCTGATTTTCACCCCTCACATTTTTACCCCTCAGATTTTACCCCTCAGATTTTTACCCCTCAGAATTTTACCCCTCAGAATTTTGTCTCTCAGATTTTTACCCCTCAGAATTTTACCCTTCAGAATTTTACCCCTCAGATTTTTGTCCCTGATTTTCACCCCTCACATTTTCACCCCTCACATTTTCACCCCTCAGACCCACAGGACCCGGTTTCATTTCCCGGACCCGCCGTGCGAGCTGTGCCAGCCGCAGACCCCCGGGCGGTGGCCGGGCGGGCGCGGGGGGCTCCAGACTCACCGTACCTGGTGGTATTTCTTGAGGATGTTGTGCATCTCCGCCACGTCCTCGCTGGACACTGCCTTGATGACGAACCTCCTGTCGTAGGTGGTGAGGAAGCGCGCGCCGCAGCGGCCCTGGCTGTCGCTGTTCACCGGGGCGCTGCGCGTCACCGAGTTCTGCACGACACACACGGCGAGGGGAGGCTGCCGGGAGCTGCCTCTGCCCTCGGCTGTGGGGCTGGCCCCATAGAGACCCCCTGGGAAGGAGGGCCAGCCCCATAGAGACCCCCATAGAGACCCCCTGAGCAGCCCTGGGAAGCAGGACCAGCCCCACAGAACCCCCTGAGCAGCTCTGGGATGCAGGATCAGCCCCACTGCACCAGTTCAGGGCACCCACTCTGCCTGGGAACCCCCTAAGTAGCCCTGGGAAGCAGGGCCAGCCCCACAGAACCACCTGAGCAGCTCCAGGAAGCAGGATCAGCCCCACAGAACCCCCTGGAAAGCAGGATCAGCCCCATAAAGGTCCCCTGAGCAGCCCTGGGCAGCAGGGCCAGCCCCACAGAACCCACTGGGAAGCAGGGCCAGCCCCACAGAATTCCCTGGGCAGCTCCAGGAAGCAGGACCAGCCCCATAGAGACCTCCTGGGCAGCCCTGGGAAGCAGGGCCAGCCCCACAGCAGCAGCTCAGGGCACCCACTCCAGCTGGGAACTCTGGGGTTGGTGCTGCTGAGGGTAAAACCCAATTATTTAAAAGTCTGGACATGTTTTTAGGGCTTCCACATGATTTGCTGGCACGTTTTTTTTACCAAAGGGTTTTTAAGAGATGTAGGATACACAGGCCAGGAGCTCTCAGCATTTCCTCTCAGGGATTTAGGAACAGTCAGGATATTTCTAAGGCTTAAGGCAAACCAGACCAAAACAACTGGAATGGCCTGTTGGCTTTCCCATCAAAAAGCAGCTTAGTCTGGCCAAAGTCTCGGTGTATGGGGACTCTTCACAGGCCATCCTGCACCAGAAGCTGTTCTTACCCCTGGACCTACAAGATGAGTGTAAACAGCTCGGTTGTTCTTCTGACAACCAGCAGCATCTGCCTGTAGATCCCTGTCTCCATCCCTTAGCAACCAGCAGGGCTGGAAAATCCCAGGGAAACTGCAGGGATCAATTCCCTGAGCCACAACACCGGCTCTTTGTTCTGCTGCCTCTCCCCAGGTAGCGGGGCCGGCTGTGAGCTTCTCCCTCAGCCCCAGCTGTCACCTGTCCCCCGTCTGTCCCCACAGCCCCTCACCAGCATCTCCTCATCACAGATGGGGAGGGCTCTGAGATCACCCACACTCATCCTCAGCAAGTTTTCCATCGTTTCTGGGTTGCATGTTGTGTTTCAGGCTGGATTATGTTTATTATATTTATTTTTTTTCATTTATATGTATTTTTTTTATTAGTGGCACTGCTGTGTCCCCTTCCCTCGGCTCTGGCAGCAGAGGGAGCCTGCAGCAGATCCTGCTCCGAGAGATTGACCACGTCATGCTGCAAGTGAGCCCGGAGGTTTCCTTTCAGAACAAAGCATTTAAAGCTTTTAAAACTTTAATGAAGCGGGGGGAAAAAACTCTGCTGCTGCCAACGGCTCCAGAGAGCGCCGGGAAAATAAAGGCAAACAGAAAAATCCCCTTTGCTGCTGGCTGACATTTGCCAAGGGGTCTGTGCCAGGCAGTTTAATCAGCCCTCACCTCAAAACCGCAGAGCTTTTCTTGTGGAGCTGGGAAGCAGAAATTGTGACCACACCGAGCATCACCAGCTTCCCTCGGCTCCCCTGCGCTGCTCTGCCACAGCTGGCTGTGAAATTCAGCCTCTGCTCCCACCCCGGCCAGCCCCTGACACACCTGTGGAAGCCCTGGGCCTGTGGAAGCCCTGAGCCTGTGGAAGCTGCAGGAAGCCCTGGGCCAGTGAAAGCCATGGGAAGCCCTGGGCCTGTGGAAGCCATGGGCCAGTGAAAGCCCTGAGCCTGTGGAAGCTGCAGGAAGCCCAGGGCCTGTGGAAGCCGTGGGAAGCCCTGGGCCAGTGGAAGCCCTGGGAAGCCCTGGGCCTATGGAAGCCATGGGCCAGTGGAAGCCATGGGCCAGTGGAAGCCATGGGCCAGTGGAAGCCCTGAGCCTGTGGAAGCCCTGGGCCCGTGGAAGCCGTGGGCCCGTGGAAGCCGTGGGCCCGTGGAAGCCATGGGAAGCTGCTAGCCTGTGGAAGCCACTGGCCTGTGGGAAGCCATGGGAAGCCCTGGGCCAGTGGAAGCCCTGGGCCTGTGGAAGCCTCAGGAAGCTCTGGGCCAGTGGCAGTCCTGGGCCAGTGGACATGGCCGGTGGCGCTGGCCGTGCCCCGCTGGCCCTGCCCCGCTGGCCCTGTCCCACTGTCCCTGCCCCGTGTCCCTGCCCCGGCTCAGGACGGAAGGGCCGGCCGGTACCTGGTAGT